AGCATGCGTTCAGTCATTTCATAGAGCAGCGTTTTAAGGCTATTAAGATTTGGGGAACTATTCTTCCTAACATCTTCCCTGTGGGGGCCGGATAGCTCTGTGGTTTGAGCATTGGCCTGTTAAACTTAGGGTTGTGAGCTCAATCCTTGAGGGAGCCACTGGGGGATCTGGGGCAAAATCAGTACTTGGTCCTGCTAGTGAAGGCAGGGGGCTGGACTCGATGACCTTCCAGCATTATGAGATTGATATATCTCCATATATTATTATGTTTTTATTTTATAAATCTCAGAGGGGCACACACACACACTCTCTCTCTCTAATAGAAAGGCTGTGAGGTCTCCAAGTTCATAAAAAGAAACACATATAGAAAATAGAAAAAGGAACAAAACGTTTCTAAGATTTCAAGGGGCTGGATCTCTGCACCTCTCGGTCTTTGATTCACCTGGAGTAGGAACTGTAGCTGCAGTTTAGGAACCAGGTAATGGCATAGATGGTCCAGCACTTTGGGCTAGCAGGGTTTTCAGGTACAGGGAGACTTCTGAAGGCTGCATAGCCTGTCGATGTTGTGCTTCATTCCCCAGAGGGGATCAATCCTGGGATCCTGGCAGTCAGTCTCTCTGAGGCTATGTCTACACTGGCAGAGTTACAGCGCCGCTCAGAGAGCGCTGAAGGGAAACCGCTATTGTGTGTTCACACTATCAGCTGCCTGCGCAATAGCGTGTTCACACTTGCAGCACTTACAGCGGTACTTGGAACGGTGCACGCTGGGCAGCTATCCCACCCAGCATTTCTTCCTCTTCTGCCACTAAGAGTTGTGGGAAGGTGGAGGGAGGTGTTTCCTGAGCCCAAAATCGGCATTCCACTGTGGTCATCACCTCCGTGAATGCCCCATCATGCATTGCTTTGCATCTCAGCAATCCCTGTGCTTCCGTCCGCAGGTGGCACCAGCTTTCAGTGATTTGTCTACTGCACTCTCTGCCTATTCGGTCTATAGGAATGGATCCCACACTTACTAACACGTCACGAGTGGCAGTGGAATTATTCCTTAAATGACAAAGGCAGGAGGAGTTAGACATTGATTTTGCCATGTGTAGTAGCTAGGACATGAGATTGCTTGTGGCATTCACTGATGTGCTGACCACAGTGGAACAGGGTGTCTACACTGGCACCGCGGTGCTGTAGCCGTGGCGCAGAAAGCTGTACACCTCTTCTCGGGGTGGGTTTTTTTACAGCGCTGGAAATGCTCAGTTTCTGCGCAGTAAGTGGCTTGGCAGTGTGTACACCTCGGGAGTTACATTGCAGAAAGCTGCTTTACTGCGCAGAAACTTTCCAGTGTAGACGAGGCCATAGATGGCTTACAGAAGAATGCAAAACTGGTCATACTGGGTCAGACCAATGGTCCATCTAGCCCAGTGTGCTGCCTGAGAGTGACCAGTGCCAGAGGCGTCAGAGGGAATCAACAGAACAGGCTTGTTAACCTGCAAGGTGAAGGTCTTTCACCCTTACATTTAACTTTATTGTTGTGGATTCCTACTTACCCTATCTTACCACACCTGCCCCGAGGTCTCTGGGCAAATCAGGTGTGAACCACTCCTTTCATACAGACATGTCCCAATCCAGCTGAATTGAGGCAGACTTTGGGCCAATGTCAGTTTGGAAAAGGCCCGCTTAACCCAGTAGCTTTCTCAAAGTATCTGTTGCTGCGAACCGCATGTAGTGTGGATGTGTCAACCCCAAAGATATCAAACATGAAAGAAACACAAGGCCAGTTTTGGGGAGGTTTCCAGAGCCAGGCCTGAGGGTTAAACAGCTGTGCTCAAAAGGAAAAGGGGCCTCAGCACCTATAAAAATAACTGGTTGCAAAATTTAAATTAAATTAAGAAACCAAACCAAACCAAACCCCAACTCAGAAAAGCTACCATCACATATCCATCACCATTTTAGATTTTGACATCTCCTGCCTGATGTGACATCTTTGCTTTGCAAACAAGAGACCTGGAGAACTCCGTGGTTGTTACCCTCTAACTGGGTAAAAGATTACACATCTTGTCTCAAGTAATTTTCCTCTTAAGGGAAGATTTATTTTAAAATGTATCATAATAAATTCCATTTTACTGTCTATACTAGGTCTCTATTCTCATACATGCTATTTCTCTCACATATTCCCCCACTCTAATTCCTTTGGAATGAGGTTTTAATTTCAGGATTAGCCACCATTTCCTATGTAGTAGGAGGGGGCAGGGTGAGAACTAGAAGAAAACCTGAATTATATTGTAACACTGAAAGTTATCACATGATCAGCCTCTTCCGTTACACTAAATAACTTCATGTTTAATTTCATTGTCGCTGGTAACAACCTATTCAAATTACAAAATATAAACCTATAGGGCAGTTTTCTCTTGATTTTCACACTTTTTAATCTTTCAAAGTAGCAGCAGGAGAAGAAGTCATACAAATGCATTAGACTTAATAAGCACAACGAAGAGACCAAACCACAGACTCTGGATTCAGCATTCATGTATCCTGCAGTCTGAACTTGGACTCTGATACACTCCCTCATTGGCTACCATTGTTTGCCCAGCATGGAAGTGCTTCTTGTCTAACAAGGCAGCCAGATTGGTACCCATAGGCATGGAATGGCTCTGAAGGAATCAGAGGTTTCTCTCTGTGCTTCATGAAACTTTGGATCCAAATGGTAAAAGACAGTTGTGCCCAATTTAATCATGGCATCCTTTAGGAGTGTGACCAATGCCACTTAACAAGGGAGCAGGGATCTAAAAATAGTTTACCTTGGCCACAGGTCACCATAGCTTCCATCTCTGCGGTGAAAATCAACCACCATTACCTGCAATTTCTTCCTGAGTTCTTGTCAAATCTTTGACTGTATTTGGAGTAATTTTACACTTCTCTGGTGTAGAATTCTTCACCTACCACATAACATATCAGTAGCAATAGAATCATAGACTTTAAGATCAGAAGGGACCATTCTGATCATCTAGTCTGACCTCCTGCACAATGCAGGCCACAGAATCTCACCCACCCACTCCTGTATCAAACCTGTGTCTGAACCACTGAAGTCCTCAAATCATGGTTTAAAGACTTCAAGGTGCAGAGAATCTTCCAGCAAGTGACCCGTGCCCCAAGGTGCAGAGGAAGGCAAAAAAAACCCAGGACTTCTGCCAATCTGCCTTGGAGCAAAATTCCTTCCCGACCCCAAATATGGCTATCAGTTAAACCCTGAGCATGTGGGCAAGACTCAGCCAGACACCCAGGAAAGAATTCTCTGAAGTAACTCAGATCCCACCCCATCTAACATCCCATCAAAGCCATTGGGCATATTTACTGCTAGTAGTCAAAGATGAATTAGTTGCCATTATACCATCCCCTCCATAAACTTATCAAGCTTAGTCTTGAAGTCAGATATGTCTTTTGCCCCCACTACTCCCCTTGGAAGGCTGTTCCAGAACTTCACTCCTCTGATGGTTAGAAACCTTCGTCTAATTTCAAGTCTAAACTTCCTGATAGCCAGTTTATATCCATTTGTTCTTGTGTCCACGTTGGTACTGAGCTTAAATAATTTCTCTCCCTCCCTGGAATTTATTCCTCTGATATATTTATAGAGAGCAATCATATCTCCCATCAGCCTTCTTTTGGTTAGGCTAAACAAGCCTCTAACTCCCACAAATATACCCTTTTATTTCTTTAATCTGGTGCCACAGATTTAAATTAGGAACTAAATTCAGGTGCGGCTTAGAATCCATGTAAGACACCAAATGTCAGGTGTCTATTAAAAATAGATATCTTTCTGCAGCTATATCACATTCAACACTGATTTCATTTTCAACACATTGACAGCATGTCCCAGGGGTGAGCTGAAAAGAAATGTCACTTCCATTTTTGCCATCCCTACCTAGATAGGGATTGCATTTCCCAAATAATAGGCAACATGCACCTGATTAGGAAGGAAATATCTTCAGGAGCGACCTCCTGCAGAGCCCGTCCCACAACTGCTTTGGGAGCCCAATGTATGGGTATTTTGCTTAGTTACAAATCATTTACTAGGGAATCCTCTTGCCAGCCCTTTAGAAAAAATATTGACCTAACCAATTGAACAGGGGGATTGGGATGGTGAATAAGGAAATCCCTCTGACTTACCCTATCTTCTTCTGTTGTTACAGAGGGTGAAATGACATTTTCCCCTATCCCTGCCCTGTTCCTGCTCTTTGTTATAGTTCAATATATTTTAAGTGAGGAAAATGGTAGTAAAAATATCTGCTCTCCAGCACTCCCTGAAGCAACATCAGAGCAAGTGGGAATGAAACAATTTGTTTCTGAAGGGGGAACTTGATGACCAAGAATTGCTTAAAATGGGGGAACAGTATAACCGTGATGCTCAGGGTTTGTTTAGACTAGGAAAAGTGATGGAGTTTAGGTCAGGTCAAGGGGAAAGCTAATGCCAACCACTGAACCTGGGCTGCACCTGCTCTACAACTAGAATTGTCTTTTTACACCAAGATCACTAACTTGAGGAGCCAATGCCATGTACAGTCCTAGTGGATGTAAGGCACAGGTAGTTTTTGCCTCAGTGTAGCTTGTTGGGATCAAACCTCTCTCTCCCACCTGGAGCGGATGAACATTCCTGGCTGGAGGGACACACACTCCTATGACTCAAAAGGAAAGGAGTTGATAGAAAAGATCACAGGACTGACTCCAAAGAAGGTGAGCTGGAAAAGGCAGAAGCAGGCAACTCATCCGGTGAAGCTGAGAGACCACAGTGAAGACGCTGCGAAAATCACTGTGTGGGAATTAGCAAATGTGATTTTTTTAAAAAAAATATTTTGGCCAGCCCTAGTCAGGGGATTTATTACAGTTCTCTCTCATGTGGATTTTCTGATGTCTAATAAGGCTTGAGCTATCACTGAAGCTTTTCTCCCACATGAATTCTCCTATGTGAGATAAGGTTTGAGCTGTGCTTGAAACTTTTCCAACACTCAGAGCATGTGTAGGGCTTCTCTCCTGTGTGGATTCTCTGTAAGATGAGTCCTGAACGATAAATGAAGCTTTTCCCGCACTCAGAGCACGTGTAGGGTTTCTCTCCCACGTGAATTCTCCTATGTGAGATAAGGTTTGAGCTCCGACTGAAGCTTTTCCCGCACTCAGAGCACGTGTAGGGCTTCTCTCCTGTGTGGATTCTACGATGTGTGATAAGGTTTGAGCTCTGCTTGAAGCTTTTCCCACACTCAGAGCATGTGTAGGGCTTCTCTCCTGTGTGGATTTTCTGATGTAAGGTGAGTCCTGAACGATAAATGAAGCATTTCCCACACTCAGAGCATCCATAAGGTTTCTCACCCATGTGGATTCTCCCATGTGTGATAAGGTGTGAGTGCTCATTGAAGCTTTTCCTGCACTCAGAGCACGTGTAGGGCTTCTCTCCTGTATGGATTCTCCAATGTGAGATAAGGTCTGAGCTCCGACTGAAGCATTTCCCGCACTCAGAGCATGTGTAGCGTCTGCCTTCCAAGTTGATTCTGTCATGGGTTATAAGGTCTGGGAGGCTATTGAAGTTTTCCCCTGGCCTCTCCTGAGTCTCACAGGCTTTTGCTTTTTCTGGGACTGCACAACTCCCGGAAACATTCCCTTTGAATCTTCCTGATAACGTCCCATGTGGTTCTACTTGCTCAGCATCTTCCTGCTGGGGTTTCTCCTCCTCATTCTCACTTACCATCCCGTCACCTGAATGGGAGACAAAGAGAATCCAGACATAGGTCACTCCCTGCACCGGAAAGAAAGGAAATCTCAGAGAGAGGAATGGAAAAAGGGATGAACAAACCAAAATATGTGTGGGAGAGATCAAACCTATCAGGAGCTGATTTTCCCCAAACCCTTCCCACAGACGAGAGAGGAAGGGATCAGTTTTGGTCCGCATCTCACCAGAACACTCAGGGGAAAGCGAGATCAGGGAGGGACCTGCTGCCAGTCAGAATAGGAGGGAAGCCATGAGTGACATCTGCCATAACGATTCCACATCTGCAGGGAACAATCCTGAACAGGGTCTTTGTAGGGCATCCCAAATGTTTCCTGTATTTCTAAACAGTTGTTGAGTTAGTTTAACCAATTCCTCACCTGCGAAGGCACCTCTTGGGAGCACTTCTTTTTCAGAGCCCTGGAGGTCTGGGACCCACGGCTCTTCCCCTCATTCCAGCTGCGAGATCACATCAGGTTTGGAAATTGGAAACCCTACTCCAGGCAAAGAAAACAAGGGAGGTCAGTGGAATTTGTGGGATACTTGTCACAAAGAATATTCCATGGTTTTAACCCCAGCTCATTTTTAAGCAGTAACATCCCAAGGCCATCTTTCTTGGCTCAAAGTGGCATGAGAGTTATTATTATTATAAATCATATGCATCACCTTAGGGCACATCTACACTACCCTCCTGGATCAGCGGGTAGTAATCGATCTATGGGGGATCGATTTATCGCATCTTGTCTAGACGCGATAAATCGATCCCCATACTCCACCTCGGCAGGAGTAGTAAGCTGAGTCGACGGGGGAGCTGCGGTGGTCGACTTGCCACCATCCTCACAGCCAGATAAGTCGAAATATATACTTCGACTTCAGCTACACATATTCAGCTATTCAGCGGATAGCGTAGCTGAAGTTGCGGATCTTAGATCGATCCCCCCGCAATGTAGACCAGCCCTTAGTGCCTAAATTATATTCATTACCTTAGTGCCTAAGGACCAACTAACACTGAGTCTCCATTGTGCTAGGACAAGTACAAACCCAGAATAGTAGATGGCCCATGCCCTGAAGAATTTACAATCTAAACAGACAAGACAGACACAGAATGGGGGAAGGGGTAAAACCCACTGTTAGAATAGAGATATTCAGGCCTGCCTGTAAAGCCTATACTTTAAGAACTTAGGTGTATTTTTATCACTTAGCTACTTACAGGGGTATAAAAACGAAGAATCAAAATCACAGTCCGCCTGTGTATGGACCTTCTCTCACTAGGATAGTCTGAGGCTTTGTTCTTAGGCTAAGGTCTTTGACTAAGCAGCAGGGGCAGCCATCAGCTGGGAAGCGTAGGGTCACATCCCAAACCAGTCAGATTGAAATAAGGTGGTATTGGGCTGTTAGGAAGATGATCCTGTCTGGATAGTGCCCATCACCACCTGATAAAGAAACAGACCTTAAGATGGTTAAAGAAAACTTAGCTTGATAGCTTCCTGTCTGGCAAGAAATCACTTATCAATGGTTGTGAAACCCTCATTTCTGAATTTTATCTTTATGGCCACCACTTTTACATTGTTAATCAGTCTGGTTCTTTAATTGTTTCTGTCTGCTGTATAATTAATTTTGCTGGGTGTAAGTTAATTAGAGTAGTGGGATATAATTGGTTACAAAATTATGTTACAATGTTAGAATTCATTAGTTAAATTTCAGTACAATGACTGGTTAAGGTATAGCTGAGAATATTATTATATAAACAGGGTCAAACAGGAGGGGGAAGGGAAATTGGAATCATGTTTGATAAGTGGGGGCAACGGGAATGTTCTGCAGCGTCAGAGCTGGGAAGGGGGACATGGGGTAAACGTTCTGCGGTGTCAGAGCTGGGAATGGAACAGAACACTGGGGAACAGACTCTATGGGCATATAGAGATAAGGCCGACTAGTGTGAAGGGCTTCGGAATATGCCTGCTTGGAAACTAACCCCAATAAACATGGCATTCTCTGTGCTTCGGACTTCGGTCTTTTGCTGCTTGCTGTCTGTGTGACAAGAACCAGGGAAGTGGGAGGGTGAAGGGAAAGCCCTGTAACAAAACTGACATGACCTGATAAGCAACAGGTAAGCCTTTAAGGAAGGTTTTAATACACTTTGGAACTGATCAGGGATTCCCATGAGTACTGATGAGTGGTGATGGTAAATACACATTTAGATCCTTTTCTTGTTTTATATCTTTTCCCCAGAAAGTGCACTGGCACACTGTCATGGATCCATAGGATCTGTGCAATGCCCTGGCTTTTAAACAGTCCTTGGGAGGTGCCCCTTGAGTGCACTAGACCCCCTAGGGGTCCCACTCTTCCACAAGAATAGGCCACGTAGCTTCAACACCTGAGACTGAGCCTCTGGCTTCAACACTCCTATTTCAACCTGTGAGCTCTGCCACCAGGTCCAGCTGAACGACACTCCTGGTCAGAGACTGTTCCTCAGTCAATGCACAGAGCAAATGTTTGCTGTGACACTGGGCAGACTTTTAAAACATAGCAGGGTTTATTAGTCAACTGAAACACAGCATTCGAAAGTCCTTAGATTAGGACAGAGAAGCAAAGAAGACAATATAGTTCATATTGGCCAATGCCCTTGACCCATTCTGCTGTAGAAAACAGTTTGGTTTCCTTTCACTGTGCCTGTCCATTTCTCTTTGCTCTGGCAGAGCTTCCTGCATCTGCGAGCCCAGTTCTTCCTACTCCCAAAAACATGACGAGTCCATGTATGCTTCACTCAGCCAAGCGGATATCCTCCCATGGACAGGTGACAATTATTCTCTTTTCTCTGTCGGGTATTCCACTGATGTAGGTTGGTCTCAGGCAGTCCTTAACAACCCATTCATATCACCGCATGACAGCTACATGACAAAACACCTTATGTCTCCTTCTCTTTATAATCATAGCAATACAAATCACAGAGGGAAACTGAGGTGTGTATTGGCATCATACAAGTATCACCAAAATTCCCACCTCTATCGCACACACACACGGCTCACAGCCCTTGGAGAGAAAGCAAAGCACAGGAACTGGACCTTAGTCCAGTGAACTCAGTGGAGGATAAGCTGCAATCCTCACACCTTAGTCAAAAAGGAGAGGCATGTGGGTCCCTACCCATAGAGAGGGGCTGGCTAGAGGCCTGATACAGGAGAGTGCATTCCTTGAGCAGACCGTGGAGGCAGGTCAAAGGCTTAGCTAACCCAGAACTGTGACATCACAAAAGCACATTTTGGGGAATTAGGAAATCTAGTGACTCAGGTGTAATGGGAGGGAGAATTCAACTCCCCCAATGTGTGGAGAAAGCTGGGGGATTAAACACTAAAATTCAGGAGCAACAGCCTCTAATTCTTCCGGAAAAGGAGAATGTAAGAAACAAGAACTGGACCACACAACCTCAGGAGGGAGAGGCTCAAAGATCCAAGGAGCCTGGAGGGAAAACAGCTTGTGGCTGCTGGAGATTGGGAGAGGGGGGAAAAGACTCTCTCCAAACTCTCACTCCTGTTGACCCCGACCTGATTTTATGGTCTGTGACCTAGTCTCATGTCTTATATTTTATACTCGCTAGAGGTAAAATGTCATTATCAGAGTATTCCTTATTAGCTTGGAACATGCGTGGAGAGGCAAGGAGGTGAACATAAATAAATGGGTTATTAAGGGCAGAGAGTACACTACAGCCGGAATCAAAGCTCTGAGATCCATCCACCGGTGGTCGATGTCATCCCATATATCTCACCACACAGGTGAGCTCACCTTTGTGACAGATGGTCCCTTACTCCAGGGGTTCTCAACCTTTTTCTTTCTGAGGTCCCCCAACATACTATAAAAACTTCACGGCCCACGTGGGCCACAATACTGGCTTTCTGCATCCAAAAGCCAGGGCTGGCTTTAGGAGGTAGCAACCAGGGCAACTGCCTGGGTCCCCATGCCACAGGGGCCCCCACAAAACTACATTGCTTAAGCTTTGGTTTTAGCTCCTTGTGGTGGGGCTCAGGGGCCCTGGACTTCAGCCCCATGCGCTGGGACTTCAGCTTTCTGCCCTGGGCCTCGGCAAGTCTAATGCTGGCCTTGCTTGGCAGCCCCCCGATAACTGCTCGTGGCCCCCCAGCGGGCTCCAGACCCCTGGTTGAGAACCACTGCCTTACACCACGAATCACAGCAATGTTCAGGTTACTGCCAGTCCCAAAGGATCAGTCACTTCCTTAGGTCAATTGAATCTTAGATTTCCCACAAAGACAACACTTGTAGCCAGTCCTGTCATAACCTGTATTGAGATTTATTTAAAACATTCTAATTCTGGCCTTTTTAAAAAAAAAGTTCATAGCTGTTCATGTGTTCTTTAGGCATTTCAGCTGCCACCTCTGCTAAGGGTCCACTGAGCTGTGGCCTCAGCTCCACCATATACTGGTCTGTAGAGAAGCTGTATCCAAGGTAGGCACTTTCAAAATTTTCTAAGAAGGCCTCTGTATCATCGCCTAGTTGTAGGTGGGGAATTTTTTGGAATGTGGAGTGGTACCTGGAGAAGGACTGTTAGGGTTATCTGGTAGACCCAATTAGCCCTTTCCAGAGCTAAGTGCTTCAGCTCTAGCTCCATATCCAAGCGGTTCGTCTCTGCCTTCAAGCGGTTTGCCTCCATTCCTGTCTCTAAGCATTTCGCTTCTCTCTTCTCCTCCACTTCCAACTCCAAGCGCTTTAAGTCCGTTTGTCTTTCGTGTTCTTTCTGTCTCATTGGAGGAGAAGGTATCTGTACTTGTGTCTGTCTTTGTTGTCCTTGTGTGTTTGTAGAGGCCTGTAGGGGCAGGGTGCTGGGAGGGACGCCGAGCCCTGATTAGGGGGCGGGGCTTGGCTGAGTAGGGGGCCCATAAAAGCGGCCGCCCAGCCAGGCAGCGGCACAGGAGGCAGCAAACAGGGCTGCTAACAGGGGAGTTTGAGTGGGAGTTTGCAGGGGGAGGTGGAAGGGGAGGCAGGAGGGCGCAGTGTGTTGTGTGCTCTATGTCCCCAGGTGCTGTGGGCAGAGACTGCAGCAGCAATGAGCCAAGCAGCAGCAAGCAGAATGCAGATGGCTGCCTGCGGAAGCTGTGGTATGTATATAGTCCTAGCAGGTGAGCTGGAACAGAGGTATGTTTGCATGAAGTGCCGCCTTATAGCGTTACTGGAAGAAAAGATTAAGGGGTTGCAGATGCAGGTAGATACCCTGGTGGAGTTTAGACAGGGCTTTGAGCAGCTGATGGAGGACAGGCTAGGAGGGACTGAAGGGGAATGCTCAGGGGTGCAGGTGGAAGCAGAGGTAGAGGACAGTGAGGGGGGAACGTTAGAGGGAGAACAAGGGCAGTGGAAGCATGTGACCGTGAGAAGCAGGCCAAGGAAAAGGAGGGCTAGTGAGGGGGAAATAGAACTCAGGAACAGGTTTGGGTGTTTGGATAATGAGGAGGGTGGGCAGCAGGTGGTGAATGAAGGTGGGAGAGTGAGGAAGAAGAGAAGAGCGGCTAGTCCAATAGAGAGAGGGGAGGAGTTGATGGAGACAGCACCAATTCTGGGCCCCCGGAGGATTCAGGAAGGCACAAGGGGGAGTATGAGGGAAGATAGGAACAGACACAGGTTAGGACTAGAGAGATCAGAGACTAGATTAGTAGATCGCACTGTTGCCAGGCGACGGCAGGTGTATGTGATTGGGGATTCTTTACTGAGGAGATTAGACAGGCCTGTGACCAGGGCGGACCCGGAGAACAGAAGGGTGTGCTGTCTACCGGGTGCAAAGATACGCGATGTGGACCTGCGGTTGAAAAGGATCCTAAAAGGAGCAGGTAAGAACCCCTTGATAATCCTTCATGTAGGAACGAACGACACGGCTAGGTTCTCATTAGAGAGAATCAAGGGAGATTATGCCAGGCTGGGTAAGACGCTCAAGGAGATAGAGGCTCAGATTATCTTTAGTGGGATACTGCATGTTCCTAGAGAAGGGCAGCAAAGGGCTGATAGGATTGTGAGAATAAATAGTTGGCTAAGAGAGTGGTGCTATAAGGAGGGCTTTGGGATGTATGGCAACTGGGAGGCTTTTGGGGACAGACAGCTGTTCTCACGGGATGGACTTCACCTGAGTAGGGAAGGAAATAGACTTCTGGGAGGGAGGCTGGCTCATCTTATCAAAAGAGCTTTAAACTAGGAAGTTGGGGGAGACGGTTGGGAGATGTGCAGTTAATCTCCACACCAGATTCCAACATTGGAAAGGCGAGTGATGAGATAAGAGGAGATATAGCGGGGGAGATGGGATTGGACATAAGAAGGAGAGGGGGGACGAACACACAGAGGTCTGTAACATATTGCGTTACTAAGGGGAGACAGGCTAAACGACATACATTAGGATGTTTATACACCAATGTGAGAAGCCTAGGTAACAAAATGCAGGAATTGGAACTCTTGGTCCGAGAATTGAAACCGGGTATCGTAGGAATAACTGAAACATGGTGGAACGGCAGTCACGACTGGAATACAGGTATGGAAGGGTATGCGCTGTTTAGGAAAGACCGGAACAAAGGTAAAGGTGGGGGGGTGGCATTGTATGTCAATAATGAGATAAGCTGTAAAGAAATAATAGTTGATGGAATAGACAAGACGGAGTCCGTCTGGGCAATACTCACACTGGGTAAAAGAACTACTAGAGCTTCTCCAGGGATAGTGCTTGGGGTGTGCTATAGACCGCCGGGATCGACCCAGGATATTTAATGTATTTAGGGAAGTAAATACTAATAGGAACTGTGTAATTATGGGGG